CCTAGATAATAGTCCAGAATCAGATCATTACTAATTATTGATCTTAGACAAACTACTTAATCTCTGAGCCACAATTTTAAAAAATGGAATGTTAACTTCTTTATAGAATGATTTAGAATTAAAAAGAGAGTACATTTTTTAAGTCTAGCAGGATATGGTGGGATATGCCTATAATTTCTATACTTGGGAGGCTGAGGCAAGATGATTGCCATGAGTTCAATGCCAGCCTGGCTTTCATAATGAGTTCAATACCAGCCTGAACTACATAAGAGACCCTGTCTCAGTAACCAAAAATGTCTATACAAACTATAAATGGACAGAAATAGTATTTTAAAAGTATGCAGTCTGATGTGACTATAAATCTCAGAGAGAAATTTTTGTATTTAAAAAATCTGGTAATCCATATTAATCTTTAATTGCTAGTGGACACAAAGGGCAAGGGGAGAGGAGTGAATATTTTAGAGCGTAAGGGGTTTCCTTTCTAGTCATTGTTTATCTATACATGTCTTATCTCACTCCCAAAGGAATAAGATCATCTCTGTGAAGTTAGAAGTTATCATACTGTAGGGCTTTTCCATTGCCTAACGGTTTTTATTTGGTTAAAGTCTCCTAATTCTCAGACCTCCCTTATGAAATCCTGAGAACAAACTCTCCCTTACATATTTCAGAGACCTCTTACCATGTGAAGCAGGACACTGGGACCTGACCATCTCCTCTGTTCTCTAGGTATACCATTAACAGTTAGTATATAGTACAGTAAGTTATCAGAAATTTACAAAATTGGATTCACAACACAACAGACCATTCCAAAAATCCTGAGGATTTAAGAATTCTTTCTGTGCTCTAATTGGCTAAGATAAGACATACGTAAATATTAGTCTTCTATCTTGGTTATGACAAATAAACCTAATGGAAATAATTAACAAAAATAAAATATTTACTTATAACCTAGCTGAAAAATAAACCGTATATTGTCTGATTCCACTTAATATTACTGGTAGAAATAATTAGTCCAATATAAAATTAATGGTGGAAAACAGTGGATAAAAGTGAGATTTGCAAAATGTATTGGGAAAAAAATGCCACAAAAAATCCTTAATGACAGGCCAGTCAGATAGCTCAGAGGACTAAAGCACCTGCTTAGACAAGCGCAGGGGACTGGGGTTCGATCCCCATGCCATGCCAGCCACATCCCCAGGGTGCACTGAGATGGCAATTGAAACTGGGCATAGTGGTGCATGCCTGCACTTCCAGTACTTGGGAGGCTGAATACAGAAGGATCACTACAAGTCCAATCTGTGCAGTGAGATCCTGTAGACTCTGCACTAAATCCATTTTTTAAAAAAGAAAAAGAAAATAAAAACTTAATGGCAGAATTCCAATTAGAAAATGTTATATAGATAAAATCCTGATCAATGTATCAAATCCTTCCTAATAATTTATATGGGAAAAATATCTGACCCTCCCATGAAAATAATTGTAGTAAAACAAAAGTAAATATGATTAGAAAAGGGCCAGTCAGAGAGCTCAGTGGACTAAACTGTCTGCTTAGGCAGAGCATAGTGGCTGGGGCGCTGAGATGGCAACTGAGACTAGACGTGATGGCATGCATCTGTAATCCTAGTACTTGGGAGGCTAAAAACAGGAGGAACACTATGAGTCCGATCTACGTAGTGAGACCCTGTAGACCTGTCCTAAATACATAAAACAAAGATTAGAAAATATTTCTTTGCACTGAGAAAAAAATCAATCAAAAAAATTAAATTGGCCAAATGATGTTTGATTTGGGAAACACTCTCTTAATCATTTATCAGTGTTAATATAATTCAAATTAAAATATGTATAGCAGCAGGACATGGTGGTGTACATCTGGAATCCCAGTACTCAGGAGGCTGCGGCAAGAGGATCACTGTCAGTTTGCCAGTCTGGACTGCATAATGAGTAGAAGTCAGCCTGAATGAAAAAGTAAGACTGTTTAAAAAAAAGGTAGGACAATGAACATGAAATATACCAGGGTCAGAATTACAATGTCAAACTATCCACAGGTCAGAACAGCAGCATCAAAATGTATCCACATTCTTCAAATTTAGTACTGGTTGAGTATTATTTGTTCAAAATGCTTGGAACTAGAAGTGTTTTGGATTTCAGATTTTTTTAAGATTTTGAGGCATTTGCATATACATAACAATATCTCTTGTTATGTATGAAGATAAGACCCAGATTTAAACACTAAATTCATTTCTATTTCATATGTACTTTATACAACTGGCCTGGGGTTAATCTTAGTGCATCTATATTTTGACTGTTACTCTGTCATAGGAGTTCAGGCATGGAATTTATTTGTAGAGTCATACTGGCACACACAGACTTTGAGATTTGAGATTTTCAAATTATGTATACTCAACATGCATCTATAAAAATTATGATAATGTATTTGCCAATATATAATCTTCATATTTGCCCCAAGATGCACATCCTGATAAAATGGTTGGCATTTCTTAAAAACAAGCAAGAATACAGGCATGATCATTAATGAAAACTGAATACTGACTGGTTTTTAAAGTTGTAGAGGATAGCCTTCATTTCAGTCATGTACTTACAGAAGAATTCACACTTTGTTCCCAAATTCTAACTTACTTATATTCTCCATCTACAAGGGATGCCACGTCTACACAATTTCTCAGATTAGTCCCACCATACTGGTATTTAAAATATGCAAGTATCCTACGATGACCCTTATGTATATAAAAATGTACCAATAAAATTAATTTTTAAAATAAATAAAACGTGTAAGGGTGAGGCAAAGTCATGATTCAATGCCAGAGATACCATGAGACACTACTGGGAAAAACAGCTTGCTCTAACCTTCTCCAATTGGCCATGATCACTGGGCACAATTTTTGTGGAATGAAGTTTCTTAGACTCAGGCTTGGAGTTTTGGGTTGGCAAAGGCATCTCTTACAGATTCAGCAGTGTCTTGTCCAAGAAGGGCTGTAATCAGAAAGGACTGTTTAAAATACTATTCACCAGAAACATCACAGAATTCTCCAGAAACTTTTGAAAAACTTCAATTTCTCTACAGCATCCCCTGAGAAAACATACTTTGAAGTTGAGTGGATCTGGGTTCAGATCTTGGTTATGCCACACTTACGCTTGGGAAAGTATCTTAAACCCTGTTGGCTTCAGCTATCCCAACTGTAAAACAAAAATAAGTTTATCTAGTTCTACAGAGTGTTGTTCAAATTAAATGAGATACTCTATGTAAAAAACATCACATGTGCCTGCCATTCTGTATAGGCACTGGGCCCATAGCTTAGCATCTAATTTAGACTAGGAATACTGGCACATGTTAACATGACAGTTTTGCATTGAAAAAATCAAATATACAATGACTCCTATAGTATGGAAATAGAGTTAATGTTCTTTAAAAGGCTTGGGGTTCTGGCCACAGCAACTATAATGATGCTACAGAGAAGACAAGAGAATGACTGCATACATGCATACATAGTAGGCCATGCATTATCAAAGGCTGTGTTCAGTCAGAAGAAACTGTAATCTAATTCAAAAGGCAAGACAATATATAAGGAACTAAACTGTTGAAAATTATGTCATAAGAATTTAATGGTCATTACATCCCTTAGAAGAATCCTTTGCCCATCTCAATAAGAGACCCTATCTTATTCCTGAAGATTCTTTTAATGAGTCCTCAATAGTCAGAATATTCATATGTATCTTACAAGCAAATACTTTATTATTAAAAGTAATCATTGTTTGGATAAACAAAAGACACTTTACTCCCAGATACAAGAGGCTCTTCTAGACTCAGAAACATTCAATTTCCAAGTTCATTGAAAAGAACAGGCTTACCTAAGTAAGAAAGACTCTAAAAGAAATGCAACAAACTTATTACCTCCATGTAAGGAATGCTTCAGGCAAGAGACACAAACATACATAAAACATAGATCTTATTCTACAAATATTTATAAGCACAATTCTAACATTAACACAATAACATGACAAGTGAAACTGGCATGGTGGTGCATGCCTACAATCCCAGAACACTGGGAGGTTGAAGCAGGAGGATCACAACTTCAAGCCCAGCATGAATAACTTAACAAGACCCTGACTCAAAAATTAAAATTGGGAGGGGGCTGGAGATTAGTTCAGTACAAAGGTCCTAGATCCAATTCTTATTGCCCCCACACATACAAACTCTGACAAGGGAGATACTTATTATGGACTGAATGTGTCCCTTGCACAATTAATGACATCCTAACATTCCAAACCCCAATATGAAAGTATTAACAGATGGAGCCTTGGGAGATGATAAGAACAGAGCCCTCGTGAATGAGATTAGTACTATATAAGAGACCCCTGAGAAGTCTTTTGTTCCTTTCTGGCATATGAAATTACAAAAAGCTGGTCATCTATGAACCAAAAAATAGATCTTCGCTAGACAGCAAATCTGTCATCACCTTGGTCTTAGACTTTCCAGACTTAAGAACTGTGAGAAATAAATGTTTGCTATTTAAGCCAGTCAGTCGGTGGCACTTTGTTATAGTAACCCAAGCTAAAATAGTACTATAAGCAGATAAAACAGAAAGTCAGAGGTGGAAGAAGGCATACTAGAGGAAGTAACATTTGGTCTGCATTTAAAATGACAAACATGATTCAGAGTAGACTGGGAAACTTCCAGGCAAATGCCCAACCCCAGAGAAAGGTATGAACATGCAGAATTCAGGGACAACCCAGTTGTTTCAAGTATGAAGCATAAAAAAAATACATTGGGGAAAAATATGTTAAAGGAACCACTAGAATGGAGCTGAAATGCTAGGCTAGGGCCAAGCTGGTTAGAAAGGGAAGTAGAGAAGACTACAGCTTGAGGGGAAGGCTTTAAAAAGAAGAAAAGCACAGCTGGGGAGATAGCTCAGTGGCATAAGTGCACACCTGGCAAGCAGAAGGTCCCAAGCTTGATCCCTGGAACTGAAAAAAAATTAAAAATTAAAAAAGAAGAAAAGCTAAATGGGGTGCTTTAGATGGAGAACTATTAAACATTTTGTAGGTGAAGAGAGGTCAGTACAAATACACGTCTTCACATGTATTCAGTTAAATATCATAAAACCATGAAGGCAAGCCGGGAAAATACAATGCTCTCTTATGGTCCCAGATTAGCTAAGTGATTTACTATCTAACACAAACTATGCAACACAGACTACCCAGCCCTTTCCAAAATACCAGTTTCTCATATCACAAAAACATTCAAAAAAAAAGTAAAAGGCTATAAAGGTGGGGAATTGGAATGGGTGTAGGCTTTAGAGTCTATGCAACCAGTTTCTAAAACAGCTAACTTAGCATTTCTCAGACTTGCTTTTCTCATGTTGCAAAACAAGGATACCACACATAAAAAGGAGTCGTGTGACTCAAATAGAAATATGTACATACAAAGCACACACCGTAGGAAGTCAATTAATGGCATTTTTCCTGTTCTTCCCTTCCCTCAGATGAAAACTTATTTTTTTGCATCTCATCCCTCAACATTCAGGAAAGCAACAATAAAGCTAAACAGGGTGCATCTACCCTTAGTTACACTATTTGAAATCTACTCACACCATTGTTATTCATGTGTCATACAATTTTCTAAGGATGACAAACAACGTGCTCTGAAATCTTTACCTTTCAAGGGTAAAATGGAAATCTAGAATCAAGTTGTTAGAAAACTTTCAACTGATGACATCACAGACCAACTAAACCTCAAAGAAAATAAAGGTATTCAAATGACAGTCATAGAACACATTCACTATTCTGAACACTAAACACTTGCTTTGGGGACACACACATTGACTTAGCTTAACTAATTTCTTTGCTACTGGGAGTAGAAGAAGAGGGAAGGTAATTGATACTACCACAAGCATTCATAAAAGGACATTCAGACTTGTACCCTTACTCTTACTTGGGCAAAGAAAATTAGAATCCTTTCCCTTTTCAGACTTTCCATCTGGTACTGGGCATCCTAGGACTGGTAAAGGACAGCAGACCTAAACTGATCAAAATAATCTACAGGGAAGAATAGCAATAGCAACTTCATTTTAAATATAAAGGCAGGTTACAAATAACAAAGCGCTGGAGAAATAATGTATCATTGTGTGACCAAAAACTGCACCAGAGTGGAATGAATACTTAGGGTCTAGTTCTAGCCCTGTTTCCCAGCTAGATGAGTGAAACTGGGCAATCTGCGTCCTATTTTCCCCAGCTAATAAAATGAGGCAGTGGGACCAGAGTGTCCTCCACATTAAAAAAAAAAAAGTGGTCAATGGAAATGCAACATTAGCATCACCTGGGAGCTTGCTAGCAAGCGAAACTCTCAGGCCCCAGGTGAGACCTATCAAATTCTAATCTGCAAATTTATATGCACTTTAAGATGCACCACCCAAGGATCCCGTCAACTTCTGAACACGTAGGATTCTAAGTGGACTTTAGCATAAGGTAGTGGGAAAACCAGAGCAGGACAGAAGAAAGCCAGTGGAGATAAAAGTGATAGATAACAAGGGAGAGGTCATGTTTCTACACTTCATTAATGTCCTTCAACCTGTGGTTCCAAATATCTTTCAAGTAATATTCTCTGACTTAAAAATACATCTATCTCCACCACACTTGTAAATACAATCAATCCTGCAACACTTTCACTTGCAAAAGACTTCTTTTAATCACTCTGATTCAGGCAAAGGCTAATGGACTTTGTGTTAGGACTAAGTTTCAAGTACCACTAGCTGGACCAGCTCCTTCTAAAAGACATTTTCATTTAAATAATCCTACTGGTGATGGGAAGAGAAGACCAGCTGAATAATTTGATTTCAGACCAATTAAAATATTAATATTAATAACCTTTTTAGAGTCAAATATTAACTTCTGTGGGTTTCAGAAATGAACTTGTGAGGGAAGCTAGACATCAGATATTGATCTTTGAACCAGGAATCGAACTCAGGACCTTGCACTTGCCAAGCAGATGTCTGTACCATTGATCTGTCTCCCCAGCCCTTGTCTATATTTTGTGAAGGGCACTCAAAGTATACAAAGATAATAAAAGTCAAAATTAATTCACCACTAGCTCTACGCTAATCACAATAAAAATTTTATTGCTTTAAATCCTACCCAAAAAGATAGGTACTTTTACTGACATTTTATAGATGACAAAATTATAGCTCACTAAATCTGTAATATCACAAAGCTGTACTGTGGTAGAGAATCTGTTACAACCCAGATATTCTCATTTATTTCATTTATGCACTAATTCAATTTAACAAATACTTAATGGGCACCTGCTTTGTGCCAGGAACTAGAAAATATCTATATCTACATATTATATATATACATATATATCCTGTATGTGTGTATATGTATCATATATAACATTATTATATATATATATATATATATATATGTATAGATATGTGGAACTGACCTAAGGTTTGTAGAATTTATAATCCCATTCTCTCCTCTGAAGAAGCAAAGAGTAAATAGAGAACCTAGGGGTGTAATCTAGAAGTTCCTACATATACAGCAGGCACTCTACCACTGACCACATTCTTATATTTATTTTTAATCCATTCTCCTTTTTAGTCTTTTACAGCTTCTACATTAAAGATACTCACGTGAGGGGAGACTTAGAAAAGAGGAAGGGATGAGAGAGCAAGAAAGAAAAGTGAGTAAATGATTAAAGTATGGTATATGCATGTATGAATGAGCCAAAATGAAACCCATTAGCCTGTATAACTAATATCGACTAATAAAAGTATAGTTATTCATGTGATCCTAGGCTCTTGTTTCTAATCTTCCTAGGTTTTTTTTTGAGATCAATATTGGAATTTATTACCTTAGACATTATTTGAAGTAAATCT